GCTTGTACTGCACTTATGGGACTTGCCACGTCACCAAGTGATACCGCAGTGTTGGTATGTGAAAGACCAGAATGTACTAGGCCGTTGGTGCTCGCAGTTCACCAAAAGGTAGAGCGGCACTAGTACTGGCACTCTGCTGCATATGAGAGTCATCAAAATTTACCGGCAAGTGCTAGCAGAGACCAAGCCTGATTATGCGAACACTGCGGTTTTGTGTGCAATGTATCAAGTAACGGTGACCTACTGACACTGCACTTGCTGGAGGAGAATGGGGGGGGGGGGGGGTAAGCGCAGGGGCTAAACGCAGGTGCTGGCAGGTGTCGGGGCTGATCCAGCTAACGCTGCGCTTTTGGGCAATCTGACGCTATCTGGGAGGGGCGCAAAAACCACGGGAGCGTGAATCACGTATATATACGTGATTTTGCGCACCCATGCCAAATCCCAATACGTGTAAATTAATTGGTTTATGTGAAAGTTATAGCGTTTACAAATGGCGGTATAGATACTGGAATTTTTTTTTCTTTTCTTAGTACTAATGGCAGCGATTAGCGACTTATAGCAGGACTGCGGCAGGCATTCTAACACTGGGGGGAACTGACTTAGTGTCACGGACATTCCCAGTGACACCAATACAGTGATCAGTGCTGAAAAAAAAAAAACCCACTGACACTGTACTAATGGCACTGGGCAGGAAGGGGTTAACATGAGGGCGATCAAAGAGTTAACCGTGTGCTGGGAGTGTTTTACTAGGGGGGGGGGATGCTTCACTGTAAGCACACTGCTCTGGATGGCTGTGCACAGGGAGGACTGTTGGTAAACAAATCAGCCCTCCTCCGCATCGGTGATTGTCAGTAAACACCGGGCATCAGCAGGTAATCAACGGCCAGGACCTGGTGATTGACAGCCGCGAATGGCGGCGTGGGTAGGACTCATACACGCCCCCTACATGGAAATGCAAAATCACATATATACTTGATTTTGTGCACCCGTGCCGCCCTGTAGCAGTATTTCTGCTATAGGGTGGTCGGGAACTGGTTAAAGCTGCCGACACCAAAAGAAGACCTATTAGCCTGGAGGGTTTAACCAGTGCAAGTCCAACACCTGCATGCATTAGCAAGCATTCACTAAACACATTTGTCTATGCAGTACCTGCATACAGGTTTCACCAAGGAGCCTGTCAGTTAAGGTCACATTCACACGTGATTGGGCCCAACAGCATTTACAGTGCTTATAGAAAAGTATCACCCCCCCCCCTTTAAAATAAAAACTTCAGTCTTCATTTCAGGCTGCAAAGCAACAAAATGTGATTCTTTGCTATACCCACTGTACGTGCAAGAACCCAAGCAATTAGCTGCAGAAGGCAGTCGCAATGAAAGAAATAAGAGCCTGACAGCTACCATTGCTAAATCACGGGCGCTCGCATGTGATAGCTATGCAGCGATCACCTGTGAGTGATCGGCCCTGGATGCAGGCGCTCTGTGTCCAGGGCCAGGTCCATGTACTGCTCCATCCCCCTCTTGCTTCCACTCAGTCCCTGGCACCTGTGGATGCTGGCACCAGGATGTACTCATATTGCTGTCTGTTCAGGGAGACCCATAGTGTACTAAGCCACATTCGTTCCTGGCTGTGCACTGGAAGTGTGTCTCCTGGCTCCATCATACGCCATCTGTTTCAAAGTAGTTAGAGACACTGGACTCTTCTAGTCGTGTTAGGATTATAGGGAAGGATAGTGTTTTGATTACAAGGCAAATAAGTGTTGGGATTACAGTAAGGATTAACATTCTGCTAAGGTTTACAGGGTGCTTAAAGTAGGACATAGCACTCAACAATGGAAGCTCCACAACTTTCATTGTGAAGCTCCTGGTGTTGAAACTTAAATGTATCGCCAACAGTTAAAAACTCCACAACTGAAGATGCCTCCACTTCCTGCCCCTTCTATCATTGTCTGCTGCTTCCAACAGAAAAATACTGCCAAGAGGTCCAAGACTTGCCATAGCATACAAACACTTTCACATCCACACATTGATCTGACTGCAAAATGCACAAGTAAATGTGGTGTTACAGATCACAGTCACAAAATAAACATGAAGTGAAACACAACCAAAGGTTCAGGCTTTCTAGTGATATCACAGCTTCTATATTAGGAGGCAATGACACCACAACACTCTCAGTATAACCACTTAAACTTTTTGGACATGAAGGCTCCCTTCTCACCTGTGCATTACTAGACCTCAGATGGAGTAGCAGTCTCCCCTCCTTGCAAGTCTTCCGACAAGTCCGCCCCTACAATCTCACAAGCCGGCAGCACCTCCTCCAAAAGGATCTTGATTAAACCCTTGTGGGAAACTTTGGGGAGGTCTGATATATCCAAATACTTAAGATTCCTATAGTAAAAAGAGAAGGACACACGTTTTAAAGCAGACACAGGAGATAGGTTGTTCTGAGGGCCTATTCACACTGATTATTTGAAAATGCAAAATCGCAACAAGTATGCTTTTGTTTTTTCAGAGAATGTCCTGAATCACTGTTTTGGTATGCATTTCCTGGGTGGGTGTACAACCTCCACCACCTCTGTGCTGTAGGCTACCGCTGATGCCCACAATCACTGCACCATGTTCCGTCCACCACCCTGATCGCTGCCAGGACCGGGGCCTGGTGTTAGGCCACCTCAGGCACCAAGTGCTCCACATGTGCTATTACTAAGACTGGGATTTTTTAGTAGGGCACCAGTGTGCAACCAAAGCAAAATAACTTTCCTTCACTTTCATAACTTACCTTTAGCATAAAAGGAATAGGACAGCATTAGCCTTATGTGGTAAGCACATCAAATTCATTAAAGTGGAACTTTAATCACAAAATGGATCACTTCAGGCTGGCTCCTTTTGCTGGTATGTAAATTATTAAAAATAAGTGCCCATGCTCAGTAATACACTGTCTTACCCTGCTCTGCACATGCTCATTTGCTCTCTATTTTTAGGTTCTGCGCTGAAAATGTAGAAGCCAATTTGTTGACAGCCCAAGGATTTACTGCTGTTCAGGGGCTCTGGGCTTCAACAAAATGGCAACCTCCAGCAAGAAGAAACCGGAACAATGCTGGAGGCAATTTACAGCACATACTCATTTTGGTAGCATAATTATTAATGTGAAATGTATGTTCCTTGTTAACCACTTGCCCTCCAGAGGATTTACACCCCCCCCCCCCCCCCCCTTCCTGACCAGGCCATTTTTTGCGAAACAGCGCTGCGTTACTTTAACTGACAATTGTGCAGTTATGCAACACTGTAAATAAATTAAATTTGTTTCCTTTTTTTCCCCCACAAATCGAGCTTTATTTCGGTGGTATTTGATCATCTGTGTATTTTTTATTTTTTGCGCTATAAACAAAAAAGAAGACTGATAATTTAAAAAAAAAAAAATATTTCTGACTTTTTTCTATAAACATCCAGTAAAAAAAATCTAATTTTGTTGTAAATTTAGGCCAAAATGTATTCTGCTACATGTCTTTGCTAAAAAAAATCCCAATACATGTAAATTAATTGGTTTACAAGAAAGTTATAGTGTCTACAAATGGAAGTATATATAGTGGAATTTTCATTTTTTTTATACTTTTTATGACTTTAATAATGGTGATTATTTTAGTAATGGCGGCAACCAGCGACTTATATCGGGATTGCGGCGGGTATTCTGACACTGGGTGGGAACTGACTAACTGCCACTGACATCCCAATGACAATAATACAGTGATCAGTGCTAATGACAATGGGCAGGAAGGGGTTAACATCTGGGGTGATCAAAGGGTTAACAGTGTGCTCTGTGCTGTTTTTCATGATGTGCTGTGTGTGCGCATTTTACTAGGGAGACATGCTGCTGCTGTGTACTTCTCTGCTGTGCAATGGAATACACAGAAGCACATTGCTGGCAAGAGAGAGACCTCTGCTGTTTACATACGCCTCTCCCGTCAGTTCTAAATGTCAGGTGCCGGCGGGGAATTTCCAGCCGGGGCCCAGTGATTGACATCCCTAGCCAACAATGGTGGCACGGGTAGGGCAGAGTGTGTGCCCCCTACCTGGAAATGCAAATCACATATATATACACACATGATTTTGCGCAGCCCTGCCGCCCTGTAGCAGTAGTTCTACTACAGGGTGGTGGGAAAGTGGTTAAAGAACATTATTTTTTTCATCAAGTTGTTATGGGTAAAGTTCAACTTTAAAAGACTTTAAAAGACTGACAAGCAATGATTAAACCAAGCTCATCTGTTGTGCAAACAATCCTCCAGCATCACCTTGACATGCTTGGATGATGGGGGTCCCACCCTGGAGATGCACCGGCTACTGCAGGGAGCTCACACATTGGTGCGTACATTTAAGTGTACAGGGAGTTAGCTCATGGAGACATTTCATTGTCGAGGAGATGCTAAAAGAATTACTGAACGAGCAACAGATCCATTTGGTGTAATATTTGATTGTGAGTGTTTTTTAACCATCGCTTTGAAAACCTGATGACTCTTGATAAATCCAATGTGATCTTGTTTTTTTATATACTTGAATATCCGATCTGCATTGTTAGCAGCCAGCCTTTGTGAACCATGTTGATAATCTGTCTATTGGATATATTATCAGGATGATCTTCACTACTGATTTATACCTCGGTGTTGCTGTGTGCTGTCAAAAAATAACGTGCAACTTACCTCTGACATTTATGGCCACTGTCCTGATCTACTGCTGCAACTCCTCAAAGATCCTATGCAAATGCTGGCCTATTTTGAAATCCTGAAAAGCCCAGGAATGCAAATTCAGGACTAGAAATGTCATATGTGTAAAACCAGTCAATTAATAAAGTAGCGCAAACGGCTCTGCACCATATCCGGCACACAAAAAACATCCTGTAACTCTTCTGACTACAGTAAATTGAGATTTGTTTGGCCATCATCACTTTCTTTCCACAAGGTTTTAATAAATTAGTGGAAGTAAAAGTATCGCAGGATCTTAAGGGTTCACTCACTGTAGGAGATGCAGGCAAGACAGCCCTCGTTCTGTAATTTGAGGACATCCTGTCAATATGAGCACTTCCAACGAATGCCCAAGTACGTGAAGGCGACTTAAACACCAGTCATCAATGTTAGGACAGCTGCTGAGGTCCAGGCAGCGTAAATCTTCTAATTCCACTGTACAGCATAAGGATCAGAACAATGGGGGTTAGGGAGCTTAAGATGCAATTAATATATCAATTAAAAGTAAACAAAAAAACATATATAATAGTAGTCTAGAGAGGTTTTTCTTAAGAAAACATCTGCTGAAAAGAAGGGCAGCAAGTGCTGCCAACCTTGTGAAAATATGTTTGCATGGCTGTCTTTGGCTTCGGTACCTTCTAAGATACTGAACTGGAGCAAGAATGTGAATTTTAAAAAATCCAGAGCTGCAGTTACATAGTCAAGTTGAAAAAAAAAAAAAAAGTAAAAAAGGCATAAATCCAATCGGGTTCATCTAAGTTCACTGAACCCAGGTTCTGGGTAAGTGACACATGTACAGGACAAAAGGGAGTGTGTTCTTTATGTCAGGTACATTCCCCCAGTATTTGAGTCGTGGTCCCTTTAAGGAGGACAGTTTTGGAGACATTGCTTGGTTCTCAGGGGTTCGCACCCATGAAGGGTTAGGTTTTCCAGGGAAGTTTGGCTAGAGAAAGGACCGATTTCCAGTACACTCTGGATTGATAATTCCGTAATTAGGAAACCTGGAATTTTGGTGGTTCAAAGAGTTTTGGGTAGGAAGAACCTCCAAACCCTGACTTACCAGGACTCTGGTCCCAAAGGAGTTAAGCTCCAGGCAGGGTGAAGTCAGCACTGGTGTCAGTGAAGCAGTGTGGCAGAGTTCACGAGCTGTGAGCAAGGTGAAAGCTTTAAGAACCAAGACTTGTTGCTGAACCTCTGCAGCCTGTATAGCACCCTGAAATCTAGAGGATCCCTACTCCAGAGTGGGACCAAGAGATCTACGGTGAGCCAAATTTGTGATTTCTTTGTGCTATACCTGTGACCTGTTTTTTTTTTTTTTTACTTTTTTACTTTTTGCTGACGGAAGCTGTTTATATTGACCTACTTGGAGGAGATAATAAATAACTGTTTGAAATTACCATACTTGGTTGGTTGACGGGATACCTCAGATAACACTCAAAAGTACTAAATCCATCGGAGAAGTCAGCAAAAGCAACCTCCAAATTTTCTCAGTTCAAAATTCCTTTAAAACACTTTCATAAAGTGAATAGGATATCTTTTCCTTGGCTTCATACATGTAATACTGTATATATAAAGGGCAGCTGGTTCTTAGAAAGAGAGGTACTGAATGTTTGAGGTTGCATGCAATTTAAAGCCTAACTGCAGGTTTCTTGTGATTTTTAATAGTTTGTTGGTCAAAAGAAATCTGAAGTCAAGCTTTTTAGCAAGGTACACTATATGGGTAAATGTTTGTGGACACCTACCACAGTTATATGAACTTTTTTCACTCCAAAACCATATTCATTATTATGGCATTGCCCCCACCCCATCCTTCTGGCCATAACATCCTCCACTCTTCTGGGAAGGCTTTCTACATGATTTTGGAGAGCGCTTGTTGGATTTTGTGCCTGTGTAGCCAACAGAGCATTTGTGAGAACAGGTAATGATTTGGGATGAGCAGACCTGGCTCCTAGTCAACATTCCAATTAATTCCAAAGGTGTTTAGTAGAGTTGTGGTTCTGGTTCTGGTCAGCCCAATTGAGTTCTTCCACACCAAACTTGTCAAACCAAGTTGTTATCCGCTTCCCGACCGCCCTATAGCAGAACTACTGCTACAGGGTGGCAGGGCTGTGCAAAATCACGTACAGTGAAGGAAATAAGTAATTGATCCCCTGCTGATTTTGAATGTTTGCCCACTCACAAAGAAATGATCAGTCTAAAAATCAAATGGTAGGTGTATTGTAACACTGAGAGACAGAATAGCAACAAAAAATTCAAAAGAAATGCATGTCTAACAAATTATACACAGATTTGCATGTTCAAGAGGGAAATAAGTATTTGATCCCCTAGCATTCAGCAGGATTTCTGGCTACCAGGTGTCTTTCATACAAGTAACAAGCTAACATTAGAAGCAGTCTCTTAAAGGGAGTGCTGCTAATCTCATTTTGTTACCTGTATAAAAGACACCTGTAAAACAGGATCAATCAAACAATCAGATTCCAAAACTATCCACCATGGCAAAGACCAAAGAGCTGTCCAAGGATGTCAGGGACAAGATTGTAGACCTACACAAGGCTGGACTGGACTACAAAACTAATCGCCAAGCAGCTTGGTGAGAAGGTGACAACAGTTGGTGCAATCATTCGCAAATGGAAGAAACACAAAACAACTGTCAATCTCCCTAGGTCTGGTGCAACATGCAAGATCTCACCTCGTGGAGTGTCAATGATCATGAGAACAGTGAGGAATCATCCCAGAACTACATGTGGGGATCTTCAATGTCAATGATCTCCAGGTAGCTGGGACCACAGTCACCAAGAAAACAATTGGTAACACACTACGCCAACAAGGATTGAAATCCTGCAGTGCCCGCAAGGTCCCTCTGCTCAAGAAATCACATGTCCAGGCCCGTCTGAAGTTTGCCACTGAACATCTGAATGATGCAGAGGAGGATTTGTTGAAAGTGTTGTGATCAGATGAGACCAAAATCGAGCTCTTTGGCATCAACTCGCCATGTTTGGAGGAGGAGGAATGCTGCCTATGACACCAAGAACACCATCCCAACTGTCAAACATGGTGGTGGAAACAATCTGCTTTGGGGGTGTTTTTCTGCTCAGGGGACAGGACAAATGCACCGCATCAAAGGAATGATGGACGGGGCAATGTACCATCAAATCTTGGGTGAGAACCTTCTTCCCTCAGCCAAGGCATTGAAAATGGGTCGTGGATGGGAGTTCCAGCATGACAATGACCCAAAACACACAGCCAAGGCAACAAAGGAGTGACTAAAGAAGAAGCACATTAAGGTCCTGGAGTGGTCTAGCCAATCTCCAGACCTTAATCCCTGTGAAGGGAGCTGAGTTCGAGTTGAAAATCAGCCACCAAACCTTGTGAAGGATCTGCAAAGAGGAGCCAAAATCCCTCCTGAAAAACTGGTTCTGACCTCTGTGATTGCCAACAAGGGAATTGCCACCAAGTACTAAGTCATGTTTTGTGAAGGGGATCAAATACTTATTTCCCTCATGAACATGCAAATCAGTGCATCATTTGTTAGACATGCATTTCTTTAGAATTTTTTGTTGCTATTTTGTCTCTCAGTGTTACAGTACACCTACCATTTGATTTTTAGACCGATCATTTCTTTGTGAGTGAGCAAACATACAAAATCAGCAGGGGATCAAACACTTATTTCCTTCACTGTATATATATATATGTGATTTTGTATTTCTGGGTAAGGGGCCAGAGATTCCCCGCCGCCCCCCGGTGATCACCGAGGAACATTGACAGAGGAGAAATCTGTATGTAAACAATACAGATCTCTCCCCTCTTAGCACCAGCATGCTGATTTGTATTGCTTGCATAGAAGAGCAATACAAAGCAGTGTGCTTACACAGTAAAGCACACGCAGACAAAATAGTAAAACAGCACACAGCAAACCCTTTGATCGCCCCTTCCTGCCAAGTGTCATTGGTACAGTGCAGGGGCGGACTGACAACTCATGGGGGTCCCGGCAATAGGGGATCATGGGGCCCGTGTCCTCACCCACACTCAAACCACACCCAAAAAAGCCTATGAAAAAGGTACCAGGGGCATCTTATGGGGCCCCCTACTGACCCAGGGCCCTCAGGCAGTGCCTGAGTTCCAAATGGTCAGTCTGCCCCTGGTAGTGTCAGTGCTTTTTATTAGCACTGATTACTGTATTAGTGTCACTGGGGATGTTAGTGGCAGTTAGTTCCCACCCATTGTCAGCATGCCTTTCGCAGTCCCGCTATAAGTCGCTGATCGCCGCCACCTATTAAAAAAAAAAAAATAAATTCCCATATATATACCACCATTTGTAGATGCTATAACAGGGTTTGAAAAAGCCGCTTGCCCGCTCACCAAATGCGAGGAGAAATTCTCTAGCAGCGAGCAGAGCTGATGGAGCGGCTGCGCTCCAAGCCTCATTGTGAAGCCGAGTTCCGGTTTCCGGCTTCTTTGGCACCGCAGCTGAGGGGACACGTGCAGGAGAGGTCCGCTCTCCTCCTCTGAGAGGAGACACCCTCTCCACCGCCGTGGGGGACTCAAGGAGTAAGTACTATATACATGTCATATCACTATAATGGAGTACAGGGGAGAGGGGGATATACATTACTGTATACATGTCATATCACTATAATGGAGTACAGGGGAGCTGGGATATACATTACTGTATACATTTCATATCACTATAATGGAGTACAGGGGAGGGGGGATATACATTACTGTATACATGTCATATCACTATAATGGAGTACAGGGGAGGGGGGATATACATACTGTATACATGTCATATCACTATAATGGAGTACAGGGGAGCTGGGATATACATTACTGTATACATGTCATATCATTATAATGGAGTACAGGGAGCAGGGATATACATTACTGTATACATGTCATATCACTATAATGGAGTACAGGGGAGCTGGGATATACATTACTGTATACATGTCATATCACTATAATGGAGTACAGGGGAGGGGATATACATTACTGTATACATGTCATATCACTATAATGGAGTACAGGGGAGCTGGGATATACATTACTGTATACATGTCATATCACTATAATGGAGTACAGGGGAGATGGGATATACATTACTGTATACACGTCATGTCACTATAATGGAGTACAGGGGAGATGGGATATACATTACTGTATACATGTCATATCACTATAATGGAGTACAGGGGAGCTGGGATATACATTACTGTATACATGTCATATCACTATAATGGAGTACAGGGGAGGGGGATATACATTACTGTATACATGTCATATCACTATAATGGAGTACAGGGGAGGGGGGATATACATTACTGTATACATGTCATATCACTATAATGGAGTACAGGGGAGCTGGGATATACATTACTGTATACATGTCATATCACTATAATGGAGTACAGGGGAGGGGGATATACATTACTGTATACATGTCATATCACTATAATGGAGTACAGGGAGGGGATATACATTACTGTATACATGTCATATCACTATAATGGAGTACAGGGGAGGGGGATTATATTATATACATGTCATATCACTATAATGGAGTACTGGGATATACATTACTGTATACATGTCATATCACTATAATGGAGTACAGGGGAGGGGGGATATACATTACTGTATACATGTCATATCACTATAATGGAGTACAGGGGAGCTGGGATATACATTACTGTATACATGTCATATCACTATAATGGAGTACAGGGGAGGGGGATATACATTACTGTATACATGTCATATCACTATAATGGAGTACAGGGGAGCTGGGATATACATTACTGTGTACATGTCATATCACTATAATGGGTACAGGGGGAGCTGGGATATACATTACTGTGTACATGTCATATCACTATAATGGAGTACAGGGGAGCTGGGATACACATTACTGTATACAGTTTTATATTTTGGACTCTTTATTCTAAAGAAAAATGTAATTTCATAAGCTTTGAGGGGGCACGGTTGGGGGCAGGGCTGGGGGCGTGGTTGGGGGTGGGCCAGGAGTGGGGTTGGAGGCAGACCTGGGCAAGGTTGGGTGAGGCAGCTGGTGGAGAGTAAGGTTTGTGCCTGGCCAGTAGGTCTAGACTCGAAAATTTAAGCCCTGCGCTATAACTTTCATATAAACCAGTAATTACACGTATTGGGATTTTTTTTTAGCAAAAACATGTAACAGAATACATTTTGGCCTAAATTTATGCCAAAATTAGATTTTTTAAATTTTTTTTACGGGATGTTTTATAGCAAAAAATAAAAAACACAGAGGCAATCACATACTACCGAAAGAAAGCTCCATTTGTGGGAAAAAAAGGACAAAATTTTATTTGGGTGCAGCGTTGCATGACTGAGCAATTGTCAGTTAAAGTAAAACAGCACCATATCGCAAAAAATGGCCTGGTCAGGAAGGGGGGTAGATCCTCTGGAGGGCAAGTGATTATATACCTATATTTATGCACAGTGGCACAATCATGCTGGAGGCAAAAAAAAAAGCCTTCCCCAAACTGCTGCCATAAGGTTGAAAGCACACATTTGTCTAAAATGTCTAATGCTGTAGCACTAACAGTACCCATCACTGAAAACACAGGGGGTCTACATATTTTCGACCATTTTGTGTAGTTGAAAGGCCTATGTAGCTGCCAAGCTGTTTCATTTGAGAAAACATTTCTAGTATCCTCTTACATATAGGGTTAAGGCCAAAGTAGTTCACATCACTATGACTCAAGTCCACACATTCTACTGGCACATCCCTATAGTTCAGAAAGTCCAGGGTATTCTGTTGCTTGACATATCGGAACCATTCTTGGTGACCATGTAACCTGAGGAAGACACCAGTTATTTCCACAGAACAAAATGAACACTGTTGCGTAAAGTGTTTTACTGTTGAGTAAAACACCTACATTATATTTGGGAATGTTGCCAAGCTTCAAAGTGAAAGTCAAGGCACCAGAATAAAGACATTATTAAGTAGAGAAACCCTCAGAGAAAGAGGGGGAGGAGAGAGGGGGGGGGGAGAGAGAGGGGGGAGAGGGGGGGGAAGAGGGAGGGAAGAGAGAGGGACGGAAGAGAGGGGGAAGAGAGAGAGAGGGGGGAAGAGAGAGAGAGGGGGAAGAGAGAGAGGGGGGGAGAGGAGGGAAGAGAGAGAGGGGGGGAAGAGAGGGGGAAGGGAAGAGAGGAGGGGGGAGAGGGAGGGAGAGAGGAGGGAGGGGGAGAGAGGAGGGGGGGGAGAGGAGGGAGGGGGGAGAGGAGGGAGGGAGAGGGGAGGGGAGGGAGGGGGGAGGGAGAGGGGGGAGAGGGGGGAGAGGGGGGGGAGAGAGAAAGGGGGGAGAGAGAGAGGGGGGAAAGAGAGAGGGGGGGAAAGAGAGAGAGGGGGAAAAAGAGAGAGGGGGGGAAGGGGGGGAGAGAGAGAGAAAAACACAATCCGAATGCTTCAACAGGGTTACTATCCATACCTCACAGCTCCTTTATGTGCCAGTGTGTAGTAAACCACCCCAGGAATTTTACCATACGCCATCTCCACTCTGCGGGGCCCTCTGAAACAAACAATAAATAGAAGACATTGAGTGTGAAAGTCATCTGTGTACTTTTACAATGTACAAAAACGTTACTCATCTATATAACGGACTCTTAAGGATCCTTATAGTTTCCCTTTGATGTGCTTATTGAATAACCTGCTCCAAAGAAGAATAGGGAAGGCTGCCAACAGCACCCCACATCGGCTTTCATTAGGCACATTACGTGGAGTTTTGCATGAATTGGGCATAAAATGTGCTCTGAACGTCATCTAAGTCACAACAATAGAAGAACACAGTCTGCTGAACATAATACTACACAAACATTAGATGTTACCATGGTTTAATTGCACATAACATGTAAACATTCACAGTGCAGGGAGGAAAAAGTATGTGAACCTTTGGACTTAATAACTGGTTGACCCTCCTTTGGCAGCAATAACCTCAACCAAACGTTTCCTGTAGTTGCAGATCAGACCTGCACAACAATCTGGAGTAATTGTGGACCACTCCTCTTCACAAAACTGTTTCAGTGTAGCAATATTCTTGGGATGTCTGGTGTGAATCGCTCTCTTAAGGTCATGCCACAGCATTTCAATCGGTTTGATGTTAGGACTCTGACTGGGCCACTCCAGAAGGCGTATTCTGCGCTGTTGCAGCCATTGTTTTGTTGAATTACTTGTATGCTTTGGGTCATTGTCCTGTTGCATCACCCATCCTCTGCGGAGCTTCAGTTGGCGGACAGATGGTCATACGTTTTCCTGCAAAATTTCTTGATAAACTCTGGAATTCATTTTCCCATCAATGACAACAATCCGTCCAGGCACTGAGGCAGCAAAGCAGCCCCAAACCATGATGTTCCCTTCCGCCATGTTTTACAGTGGGGATGAGGTTTTGATGTTGGTGTGCTGTGCCTTTTTTTTCTCCACACATAGTGTTGTGTGTTCTTCCCAAACAACTCAATCTTGGTTTCATCTGTCCACAGTATATTTTGCCAGTAGTGCTGTGGAACATCCAGGTGCTCTTTTGCAAACTTCAAACGTGCTGCAATATTCTTTTTGGACAGCAATGGCTTCCTCCATGGTGTCCTCCCATGTACTCCATTCTTGTTTAACGTTTTCCTTATTGTAGATGTGTCAACAAAAATGTTAGCATGTGCCAGAGATTTCTGTAGGTCTTTTTTTTTTTTTAATTTAAATATTTATTCTTTTTCAAACAAACCAATACAAAATACAAAGTTTCACGATAGATAATACAACATACCAAAATCTCATAAAACCCTTATTTTGTATCTTTTTCTCCCACTAATCCCCTTTCTTTCAACCCACCCTCCACCCCCTCCCGCTTCTTTAAACCCATGACATCTATCTGATCGACTTGTATCTCACATCCTCTGGATAAAAAGAATTGGAAGATAGAAAGAATGACAAATTACTATATTTTCTCCTTTTTCTTTCCCCTTTCTCTCTTCTCGTTCTTTCTTTCCCCTTTCTTTGCTCTTACTTATTCAGTACCTTCTTTTACCTTTACCTTAAATTCCTCCCATTTCTTATAATATGCTCCCATCCTATCTTCCTGTATATAATAAAGTTTTTCCAGTCTCGCAATCTGGTCAACTCTATTTATCCAGTCCTCTACTCTACTCGGTGCCTCAACTTTGCGCCAAAACCTGGGGATCAAACTTTTTGCTGCATTTAGGTAACTCCCTATACCCAATTCTCTATATTTATTCTCAGATATTATTGGGTTTATGAAAAAGACAGGTTTCAGGGTCCAGTCCGATCTCTGTTCCAGTAATGATCCTAATTTTATTTATGACTTTTTTCCAATATATTTGTATTTTTAAACAATCCCACCATATGTGATAAATCGTGCCCAACCCTCCGCATCCTCGCCAGCACCAAGGTTGTTTTTCCCCACTCATCTTGTGCTCAATCATCGGTGTGACATACCACCTTGTCAAACATTTGAAATTCATTTCCACCTCACGCATGCTTATATTTTCGTGTACCCTTTTATATATTTTTCTCTGTGTGTGCTGTGCTCTTCCCATTCCATTCCTAAGTCCCTTTCCCATTTTCCTATGTACTTTAGTTTTGACTTACTATCTAAATCAGTGAGTGCTTTGTATGCTTTAGCAGTGCTGTGTTTCCCATCTCCTCGTGCTTCTAAGTACTTTTCAAATACGTTCCAGTCTTTCCTAGTTCTAAGGGGCTTCGTCAGTTTCTCCATTTCTGTAGGTCTTTAGCTGACACTCTGGGATTCTTCTTTACCTCATGCAGCATTCTGCGCTGTGCTCTTGCAGTCATTTTTACAGGACGACCACGCCTAGGGAGAGTAATAACAGTGCTAAACTTTCTCCATTTGTAGACAGTCTGTCTTACCGTGGACACATGAACATCAAGGCTTTTGGAGATACTTTTGTAACCCTTTCCAGCTTCATGCAAGTCAACAATTCTTGATCGTAGGTCTTCTGAGAGCTCTTTTCTGCGAGGCATGGTTCACATCAAACAGTGCTTCTGGAAACCAGTAAACTCAAAACAGGTGTGTGTTTTTTAAGGGCAGGACAGCTGTCAGGAACACATCCAATATCATCACACTGATTGGAGTCAAGGTTGGCTCTGTTAGGGATCCGGGTATGACCAGAAATGTGCGGACTGACACAGGGAAGTAGCAGGCTTCAGGAACACAGGCGTAGTCAGGCTAGAGAGGTGGAATGGGCAGGCAGGCAGGCCGTAAGGTACTGTCAGGTGCCGTCTGGCAGTGTCTCTAGCAGTCCACAGCACGGATTTCCTCAGGGCGCGGGGTCTAAGTCCCAGCCTGATGGACTTGGTGCAGACTGGAACCAGGTCACGACCCCTGAGTGCGTCCGGCTGTGGTAGAGAGTACTGGCAGGGGAGTGCAGGAACGGAGTCTGATGGGAAGAGGCAGGCAGACTTACTAAAGGTGATCCATGCGGGATGGATGAATCGTCAGGTGAAGTAAGCGTAGTCAGACAGGCCGGGTCGGTATCGTGCTGGCAGCGTGGTGCAGGAGGAGCAAGCAGAGAATGGTCGGGGTCACAAGCCAGGTTCATCAGGTAGCGGGCAGCGCGGTACCGAGGATCAGGCAGAAGGATGGTCAGGCAAGCCAGGGGTTCAACAGGAGACAGTCAGCAGAGGTCTGGATCAAAACAGGGTCAGCAACGAGGCAGGAGCACAGGATACCAGGTACAGGGGCTCATGGGAAAACAAGCACCAAGGCCCTGATCACAGGCCTGTCATTCCTTAAATACACTTCCTGCAATCAGCTTCAGGTGTTGGCTGACTGCAGGAGGGAGCTTCTGGCTGCTGAGAGCACCCGCTGGTCAGCCCTGGTACTGCAGCCCACACGGCAGGTGAGTCCCACCACCAGTGCTGAGTCCATTCCTGATAGGCTCACTCCTGGCTCCAATTAGCTCTGGGAGAAGTCATTAAGCTAGAGCCTCACATACTTTTTCCTCCCTGCACTGTGAATGTTTACATGTTATGTGCAATTAAACCATGGCAACATCTAATGTTTGTGTAGTATTATGTTCAGCAGACTGTGTTCTTCTATTGTTGTGACTTAGATGACGTTCAGAGCACATTTTATGCCCAATTCATGCAAAACTCCACGTAATCCCAAGGGGTTCACATACTTTTTCTTGCAACTGTATGCCCAACATGGACCAGCAATGTACTAGTACATCGCTGGATTTTGAGTGGTTATACCGGGATGATGCCTGAAGCTACAGGCATCATCCTGCTATCATTTTTTTTTCAGCTGGGCATTGGCTTTCATGTAAAAGCAATCCTAGTGGCCAATTAGCTGCTGAATTGTTTTTACGAGCAGCGGTAGGGACATCCCCCCCCCTCCTGCTGCCTTCCACAGTTTTCTTGGGCTCTCCTGTCCCACAGGGAATCCAAGAATGCAGCTGGCAGTTCCGCTGGCTGACCATAGAGCAGGTCAGAGACCAGAATGGCTCCAGTCATCTCTATAGTCTAAGAAACTGGCAGCTATGAGCGTTTCATCACTTCAGTTTCCAAGGATATAAACAGCGCCATTTGTAAATTGGGAAAGGATCTGATCACACCAATCTTGGTGAGATTAGATAATGTAAAAGAAGAGGAGATATCTAGAGTCTGATAGACCCCAGATTTCTCAAAAAAGAAATATATGACAATGCCCATTGAACGTATAGCGGATGTTGGGCAATATATTGTGTTTATGTGCATTCAAATCCTAAAAAGTGTATTTTTCCCAAAAGATTTGCGTTTGAAAAATCGCTTCGCAAATTCTGTGCGACGTAAAAAATTTCAACATCCACCATTTTATTCTCCAGGGCCTCTGCTTTAAAAAAAATATATGTTTGGGAGTTCAAAGTAATTTTCTAGCAAAAAAACAGGTTTTTTTTCATGTGAACAGAAAAGTGACAGAAAATGCTTTGTCTTCAAGAGTGGGTGATGTGTGGCAGAAGCTTCTAATGTTGGCCCGGAAATGCCAGGATAGTAGAAGCACCCCCTCCAAATGAACCCTTTTTGGAAAATAGACACTCTAAGGTATTTGCTAAGAGGCATGGTGAGTGTTTTCCAGATCTAACTTGTTGACACGTTTTTGGAAAATGAAGAAAGAAACAAATATATTTTTTTTTCTTTTCTTTTTTTTCTTTTTCAAAACTCTGTGACAATAATGATATCTGCAAAATACTCACCATGCCTTTTATCAAATTCTTTTCCAAAAAGGGGTCATTTGGGGGGGGTGTTTGTACTATCCTAGCATTTTAGGGCCTCCGAAACTGTGATAGGTAGTGGGGAAGTGATATGAGGAAATATGCCATTTGAAAGCCTGGAGGTGGTCATTGGATTTTGGGGATTTGTATGTAGCTAGGCTGCCAAAAAAGTCTCTCATATGTGGTATCCCCATACTCAGGAGAAGTAGAAGAATGTGTTCTTATGTGTTCTGGGGTGTTATTCCACATATACCCATGGCATGCAGGAGCAATATATCATTAAAGTGACAACTTTGTGTAAAAAAAAAAAAAAAAAAAAAGATGTCATGTTCAAAAAATTTGTGGCAAATAATAAAATGGTCCATGGACTCAACATGCCTCTCTGCAAAATCCTTAGGTCTACCTTCCAAAAAGGGGCCATTTTGGGGGGGGGGGGGGGGGGTTGTACTGCCCTGGCATTTTAGCACCTCAAGAAATGTAATTGGCAATCAAAAAGTTACATAAATTCCAATATATATACCATAGTTTGTAGACGCTATAACTTTCACACAAACCAATTCATTTACATGTATTGGGATTTTTTTTACCAAAGTCATGTAGCAGAATACATTTTAGCCTACATTTATGTCTAACTTTGAGTTTATTGAAGTGAAAAATATTGGGGGGTTTGTTCTACATTTTTGGTCTTTTTTTGTTTATAGAGCATAAAATAAAAAGTGTACAGATCAAATGCCACCAAAGAAAGCTCTACACCTTGTTTCAAATTATTATGCAAATTATATTTTTCTCATTTACCTAAATAATTGATGTAAATAACAGTCAGCATAATTCTCATGTTATCAACTATTAAGAGTACAATTCACATTTTATTGAACAAACCTCCTAATGATAACAGGATTTTTGTTAAACATAAAACACTTCCAATGCACTGTTCCAAATTATTACCCACAGTAAGTTTCAAAACACTTTATAGGTTGTAAAGAACTGAAAATTGTCATTTGTTGTGTTTGCAGCATATTTACTGAAATCAAAAGCTATTTCAATCAAACTTTTAACAACATTTTAACTTTTTAAACATTTTAACAGGTCACGTTACATTTTAACATAGGACCCCTTATTTGATAGCAGCTTCACAAGTCTTGCATCCATTGAACTTGTGAGTTTTTGGACAGTTTCTGCTTGAATTTGTTTGCAAGATGTCAGAATAGCCTCCCAGAGCTGCTGTTTGGATGTAAACTGCCTCCCACCCTCATAGATCTTTTGCTTGAGGATGCTCCAAAGGTTCTCAATAGGATTGAAGTCGGGAGGATGGAGGCCACACCATGACTTGCTCTCCTTTTATCCCCATAGCAGCCATTGATGCAGAGGTATTCTTTGCAGCATGAGATGGTGCATTGTCATGCATGAAGATGATTTTATTACGGAAAGCACAGTTCTTCCTTCTGTACCAGGGAAGAAAGTGGTCAGTCATAAACTCCACATACTTTGCAGAGGTCATCTTTACACCTTCAGGGACCCTAAAGGGGCTGACCAGCTATGTTCCCATGATTCCGGCCCAAAACATGACTCCACCACCGCCTTGCTGACGTTGCAGCCTTGTAGGAACAGGGTGGCCATCCACCAACCATCTACTACTCTATCCATCTGGACCATCCAGGGTTGCACGGCACTCATCAGTGAACAGGACTGTTTGAAAATTTGTCTTCATGTATTTTTCTGCCCAATGCAGCCATTTCTGCTTGTGAGCATTGGTTATTGGTTGCCGAATTGAAGGTTTATGCCCAGTTGCAAGACTCTGGAGGACTCTACACCTTGATGTCCGTGGGACTCCAGAGGCACCAGCAGCTTCAAATATCTGTTTGCTGCTATGTAATGGTATTTTATTTTCTCTTGATCCGATGCACAGATCTGGCAAGAAATCTTCCTCAATGTGCCTTTATCTGCACGAACCCGTCTGTGCTCTGAATCAGCCACAAATCTCTTAATAGTGCGATGATCACGCTTACATTTTCATGAAATATCTAATGTTTTCATACCTCGTCCAAGGCATTGAACTATTTCACTCTTTTCGGCAGCAGAGAGATCCTTTTTCTTCCCCATATTGCTTGAAAATGGTGCTCTGCTTAATAATGTGGAACACCCTCCTTTAGTAGTTTATCCTTAAATTGGGCTCACCGGCCAATCTAATTATCACAGATGTCCGAGATTGTTTTCAGTGATCAAATGAGCCCTGACACACAATGCCATCCATGAGTTACACTGAAAAACAAAATATTTAATCTTTGTGACACTTAAATAGAATTTGCATAATAATTTGGAACGCGGTGTATTTGTGTGAAAAAAAAAAAGGACATAAATTTTGTTTGGGTATAGCATTGCACGACCGCGCAATTACCAGTTGAAATAGGGCACTGCCGAACAGCAAAAAATGGCCTGGTCAGAAATGGGGGTAAATCCTCAAGAGGGCAAGTGGTAAAGGATATGTTGTATTGTTAGATACCTGTTCACATCTATATGTTAGAAAAGGGGGGTTGTAGTAGATCAACGGTTCTCAACCAGTGGGTCGCGACCCCTTTGGGGGTCGAACAACCATTTCACAGGGGTCGCCTAGGAGCATCGGAAAACACATATTTCCGATAGTCTTAGGAACCGAGACACCGCTCCTCTATCCATCTCCAGGCAATGTGTGGATGACATGCCGCCCCTGTCATCTGGCCACACCCCTGGGATCACTCAACAGCTCCGCCTCCTCGCTGGTGATTGCCCGCCGGAACTGTAGCTCAGGAGAGGCACACAGGCGGCCAATCATCGGCGAGGAGGTGGAGCTTGGAGAGGAGGAGCCGAGCGGCAGCTCGAAGATCAAAGAAGATCAAGTGAGGGACTTGCCAGAGCGAGTGAAGAGGAGAGCGGCCGGAGAAGGAAGACAGCTGACCGGTAATTGTCTGTACCGTGAAGATGGTGCTGCTGCAGCCAGGTATGCTGGCTGTAGATGGGAGAGGGAGGGAGCGAGCCCAGGTTGGAGCAGAGGTCAGCAAGGTAAGTATCATTGGTGTCAGTGGGAGGAATAGTGCCCCATCATTGGTGTCACTAACACCAATGATGGGGCACTATTCCTCCCACTGACACCAATGATGGGGCACTATTTCCCCCCCACTGACACCAACGATGGGGCACTATTCCTCCCCCCACTGACACCAACGATGGGGCACTATTCCTCCCCCCACTGACACCAACGATGGGACACTATTCCTCCCCCCACTGACACCAACGATGGGGCACTATTCCTCCCCCACTGACACCAATGATGGGGCACTACTCCCCCCCACACTGACATCAATGATGGGGCACTATTCCTCCCACACTGACATCAATGATGGGGCACTATACCTCACCAGTGGGGGGAGGAATAGTGCCCCATCGTTGGTGTCAGTGGGGGGAGGAATAGTGCCCCATCGTTGGTGTCAGTGGGGGGAGGAATAGTGCCCCATCGTTGGTGTCAGTGGGGGGAGGAATAGTGCCCCATCGTTGGTGTCAGTGGGGGGAGGAATAGTGCCCCATCGTTGGTGTCAGTGGGGGGAGGAATAGTGCCCCATCGTTGGTGTCAGTGGGGAGGAGGAATAGTGCCCCATCATTGGTGTTAGTGGGGGGAATAGTGCCCCATCATTGGTGTCAGTGGGGGGAATAGTGCCCCATCATTGGTGTCAGTGGGAGGAATAGTGCCCCATCACTGGTGTCAGTGGGAGGAATAGTGTCCCATCACTGATATCAGTGGGAGGAAAAGCGTCCCATCACTGGTATCAGTGGGAGGAATAGTGCCCCATCATTGGTGTCAGTGGGAGGAATAGTGCCCCATCATTGGTGTCAGTGGGAGGAATAGTGCCCCATCATTGGTGTCAGTGGGAGGAATAGTGCCCCATCATTGGTATCAGTGGGAGGAATAGTGCCCCCATCATTGGTGTCAGTGGGAGGAATAGTGCCTCATCATTGGTATCAGGGGGAGCAATAGTGCCCCAACATTGGTGTCAGTGGGAGGAATAGTGCCCCATCGTTGGTATCAGTGGTGGGAGGAATAGTGCCCCATCGTTGGTCTCAGTGGGGGGAGGAATAGTGCCCCATCGTTGGTCTCAGTGGGGGGAGGAATAGTGCCCCATCGTTGGTCTCAGTGGGGGAGGAATAGTGCCCCATCGTTGGTCTCAGTGGGGGGAGGAATAGTGCCCCATCGTTGGTCTCAGTGGGGGGAGGAATAGTGCCCCATCGTTGGTCTCAGTGGGGGGAGGAATAGTGCCCCATCGTTGGTCTCAGTGGGGGGAGGAATAGTGCCCCATCGTTGGTGTCAGTGGGGGGAGGAATAGTGCCCCATCGTTAGTGTCAGTGGGGGGAGGAATAGTGCCCCATCGTTGGTGTCAGTGGGGGGAGGAATAGTGCCCAATCGTTGGTATTAGTGACACTAATGATGGGGCACCATTCCTCCCACTGACACCAATGATACTTACCTTGCTGACCCCTGCTCCAGCCTGGGCTCGCTCGCTCCCTCCCTCTTCCATGGTACAGACACTTACCGGTCAGTTGTCTTCCTTCTCCGGCCGCTCTTCTCCTCTTCACTCGCTCGATCTTCGCGGTGCCGCTCGGCTCCTCCTTTCCAAGCTCCACCTCCTCGCCGGTGATTGGCTGCCTGTGTGCCTCTCCTGAGCTACAGTTCCGGCGGCCAATCACCGACGAGGATTGATCCCGGGGGTGTGTCCAGATGACAGGGACGGCATGTCATCCCGCCCACACCTGGAGACGGATAGAGGAGCGGTGTCTCGGTTCCTAAGGCCATCGGAAATATGTGTTTTCCGATGGTCTTAGGCGACCCCTGGGAAAGTGTCGTTCGACCCCCAAAGGGGTCGCGACCCCCAGGTTGAGAACCGCTGGTCTAGAAGCTCATTAAAACCGCTATGTCTGGCAGTATACATTGAGGAACAGAAGTATTTGAACACCCTGTGATTTTGCAAGTTCTCCCACTTAGAAATCATGGAGGGGTCTGAAATTCACATTGTAGGTGCATTCCCACTCTGAGAGACAGAATTAAAAAAAAAATTCAGGAAATCACATTGTATGATTTTTAAAGAATTTATTTGCCTTGCACTGCTGAACATAAGTATTTGAGAGCCAGAATTCTTGCTGTTTCTCAGGTGTTCAAAGACCTGTTACTGTGCCTTTAAAAAGTCCACCTCTACTCCAGTCATTAATCTAACTTAGTAGCACCTGTCTGAGCTCTTTAAAGACACCTGTCCACTGCACAGTCAGTCAGACGCCAACTACTACCATGGGCAAGACCAAAGAGCTGTCAAAAGACACCAGAGACAAAATTGTGGACCTCCACAAGGCTGGAAAGGGCTATGGGGCAATTGCCAAGCAGCTTGGTGAAAATAGATCAACTGCTGGAGCAATTGTTAGAAAATGGAAGAGGCTAAAGACGCCTGTCAGTCTCCCTCGGACTGGGGCTCCATGCAAGATCTCACCTCGTGGGGTATCACCGATGATAAGAAGGGTGAGGAATCAGCCCAAAACTACAAGGGAGGAGCTGGTCAATGACATGAAGAGAGCTGGGACCACAGTTTCAAAGGTCACTGTCGGTAGAACACTACGCCGTCATGGTTTCAAATCATGCATTGCACGGAAGGTTCCCCTGCTCAAGTCATCACATAACCAGGCCTGTCTGAAGTTTGCCAATGACCATCTGGATGATCCAGAGGAGGCATGGAGAGAAAGTCATGTGGTTAGATGAGACCAAAGTAGAACTTTTTGGTCTAAACTTCACTCGTCGTGTTTGGAGGAAAAAGAAGGATGAGTTGCATCCCAAGAACACCATCCATACTGTGAAGCATGGGGGTGGTAACATCATGCTTTGGGGGTGCTTTTCTGCAAAGGGGACAGGCCAACTGCACTGTATTAAGGAGAGGATGAATGGGGCCATTTATTGTGAGATTTTGAGCAACAACCTCCTTCCCCCAGTCAGAGCATTGAAGATGGGTCGTGGCTGGGTCTTCCAACATGACAACGACCCGAAGCACACAGCCAGGATAACCAAGGAGTGGCTCCGTAAGAAGCATATCAAGGTTCTGGAGTGGCCTAGCCAGTCTCCAGACCTAAATCCAATAGAACATCTCCACTAAAACGTGTGGATTTATTGAAGCATAGTATAAAGATCAATATTACAACATGAGCACACAGGCGATATGATAGCATGGAAAAAAGTTCATGCGTATCAAGCTCCGTAGAGCTTATTCATAACCATGGCTTCAATAAATCCACACGTTTTAGCAAAGTGTGTAGCCAATTTTTTTCTGATTTCCTATTGTCTCCAGAGGCGAGCTGGGCGTGCACCTCTGTGGGTGTTGGAAAGGTTCCTGTCGCACCACCTGCAGTGGTGTTTCTTCTACCTGGATCAGCAGCTGCATCCTAGCAGATGCAGTCACTCTTCAGCAGTGCCACCGTTTTCAGGCATCTGGGGGTTCTGCAGATCCCTGAATACAGTCGTCAGCAAAGCAAGACGTGAAACAAATAACTTTTTCCTTAAAAGTTTTTTAGTAAAAAATATGTACAAGCTGACATTATATTCACTAGTTCTCCTTGAGGCTGCTGTTAAAAAAAAAAAAAAAGTCACCAGTTCTGGGGTCCTGGGGAAGTCCCAGCAGACACTACTTCTGTTCCCATTTTCTCTTTCTGCCACAGCAACGGGCCAAACCCGTGAAGCAAAGGTTTTATTTGAGAGAGAGGAGGAAGTGGGGTTAGAAAGTGGATGGGGGGCAGGAATCTGCAAAACCAGAATGTATGGAGACGGGCAGTAAAAATCTCAGACATGTGACATCACATGACATCTCAGAAAGTAGGAAAAATGGCTTACATGTGCCAGATAGTAATAGTTGGGTTTTAAATAGGCCGCCATTGCTAGGAAGCACAGTTAAAGTGGTTGTAAAGGCTCAAGGTTTTGTTACCTTCATGCATTCTATGCATGAAGGTAAAAAACCTCCTGTGTGCAGCAGTGCCCCCAGCCCCTCAATACAAACCTGAGCCACATCGCGATCCATCAATGTGCACAACAGCCTCGGCTGTCCCGGGTCTCTGCCTCCTCATTGGCTGAGACAGCAAGTGGGAGCCACTGGCTCCCACTGCTGTCAATCACAGCCAGTCAGCCAATGAGGAGAGAGAGGGAGCAGATCCAAGCAGCGGCTCTGTGCATGAATGGACACACAGAGCAGCAGCTTGAGAACAGCCTGCCTGCTTCAGTGCCCCCATACCAAGCTGCTTGCTGTAGGGGCACCCGAAAACCACTGCACAGAGCAGGTCAGTATAGACAATTTTTATTTTACAAAAAAAAAAGAACCTTTAATATCACTTTAAGTCCTGAGGAATCTTGAAGCTATGGGCCAAACAAGCTGGGATACTCACTCATTTTTCAGTTCAATTACCCACTGTTTCCAGTCATGCTTCCACTGCATAAAGTGATCCATATCAGCGACATATCTTCTCAAAAAAAAATCCATGACCTTCTGCTTAGTGTCTGGGACTAAGGACGAAGAGCTGTGACGAGCAAAGACATATCCACAGAAGGGACGAAGACTGAGCGTCTTGAGCTGGTATAGAATATGAAAAGAAGCATTAAAGTATATGTGAACCCTCACCTCAACAATTCATTTAGTTTAGCCCTTTCGCTGCTCTCACTCCAGCATGTGTGGTGATATGTAACATGTGTATCGCAATTGACGTTTTGACACATAGGCGCCCCAATGTATGCGTTTATGTTCGTACATGCATATATGTAAGGTGGGGGTCCTAAAAAAAATTTGGGGGGGGATGTTATGTGCTTGGGTGTAACTTTATTTTTTTGCAATAAAGGAAAAAAAAAAATTTTTACTTAACTTTTTTTTTTCCATCACATAGGGAACACAAAGTCTGCCTGTCAGTATTACACACAATCCCAATGGCTGCTGCCTCCAGATTATGTATAAAACCCCCTGCTGTCAAGTCTGTACGACATACGGACCTGGCGGCAAAAGGGTTAAAATAGAAATTCAAGGCAAAACATCTGTGTAGTTATTAAATTATTAAACGCACACATTATAAATAGCTTTTTTTTTTTTTAAATAAATAAAATATATATATTAGCAGGATTGGTGGCTCCTTCTGATGATGGGGGGTAGCAACAGCAGCTTGAAACCTGACCACTGGAGTACAGGCATCCGGTCCCAAGTAGAATGCAAACAAGAAACCGGCAAGCGGTTATATCAGGATCATGGCTGCAGCTGTAGCCATGGATCCTGGTCTTGTTCTTTGGAGCCAGTGATTGGCTTTCTTGTAAAAGTGAGTGATCCAGTCGGCTTTACAGTCGCCTCTTCACTTTTCCATCGCTGTGGAACTCTCCCCCCACTCCCAATACCTCTGACCTGCATAAGATATACTTTGATCACGTAGTTTCATGGTGTCATTTGTTGGCCCGTATGTACACGCTATAATCATGTAAATTGTGTTCAAACATAAGACATGCCATATGGCATTGCACAGGTAATAAGTGACCTCTCTCTGTAGTTTAAGAATTGACACTTCCTGTGTAGAAACTACACATCCCACAATTAATAATAATTATTTCACACACAAGCAGGCAGAGCAATTAATAGAGGGCTCACCTTGCAGTCTTTTATCACATTAGCCCTCCCACACATGTGATGGTGAGGCATGGACTGTGACTCAGAGCAGGAAGTTGCCCGTCCGTTTAGTGAATAGGGATAAGCTAAGTGAATGAATACATGGACATAGGGGAATCGATTGGCCATGACGCTGCAAACTGAAGCTATAACATGTGAGCTCATCATTACAAGACAAGGCAAACAAACTACACAGGGAATATAACTACATTAATACCTAGCTAAAACTACAAAAACATTTGAAAGTGTACAAGGCCTTTACGAATATTTATTTAAAGGGCTAGGGAAGTAAGCAAGCAATTAAATACTTAAACCGCAAACCGCAGCGCACAAAGAAATTGAATCTAAAAAAAATTAATGTAACGATATGCCGCTGTGCAACAGTGTAAAACACCAATTAATAAAGAAAAAAATATATATTACAGTGCAAAACCCAGAACTCTTATCCATAAATTGACATTAAACAAAATCAATAATGTAAATAATATAAGTGTCCACAAAATGATAGTGTCATAAATAAATAAATATAAATGAAACGTCCTTCCCAAAGGTGTATAATGAACAAATAAATCTTCTCCCAAAGGTGGATTAAGAGCTCTGGAGAATTTAGAGGGGGCATAGGATTCCTAAAATCCTAAAAGGCGCATTACTCACCATTATCTGGTGAGTGCGGTTGATGTTGATTTTTCACTGGTGGATGGTGGAAGCACATTTTCTTTGGGAGAAGATTTATTTGTTCATTATACACCTTTGGGAAGAAGGACGTTTCATTTATATTAATTTATTTATTTATGACACTATCATTTTGTGGACACTTCTATTATTTACATTATTTGTTGTTTAATTTATGGATAGGAGTTCTGGGTTTTGCGCTGTTATATATATTTTTTCTTTAAGCAGTTAAATACTGTTCAGTTTTTACTGCTGAAGAATAAACTATATAACTGACTTTAAAGCGATCCAGTCAGGTTAAAAGAAAATAGAGTTCAAAGGTCCCTGCAAAAGAAGAGCTTTAATACTTCTCTCTTTGGCGGCCCATGTCTCCTACCCTTCTCTTTGTTACATTGATGCAGCCTTCCTGAGGGTACATTCACACCTAACAGAGTGTGTTAATGCACATGTTAGCATGCGTTATGTGAAGGCAGGCTGTTCATTATAAATGGGTTATCCACACACCACAATGGATGCAAAACATGCATGACCCTTTTCTAACAACGCAGCGCACTACAATTCAAGGTATATGCTTTGTAGTGCATTGTGCTCTCCTGTACAAGGCATTGGGTGTCATTCACAATAAATGGACAACATATTGAACAGGATTGCTGCCATGTGTTGTGGTAACATGCAAATATGCATTTTAGTGTGTGTTGCCACAATGTACAGGTGTAAACCAGCCCTCAGACTGTTCAGTATTTGAAAATTCTAGTGTCGGATGTCTGCCTGTCCGCCTGTCCTGCCGCACACTGCGGTTCCATCCTCCAACCCTACATCCCTTCTGGACTCAGCAGTTACATAAGGGTTGGGGGGCGCGTATAACACGACCTCGACCTCTAATGCAGGGACCTTTCATGTAAATTTTATTTCAAATTTGACAAGGTTGCTTTAAGTGTTCGTGGTTTATTCTTTTTTACTAGAGCTTAGCTTCAAAGGCTCCACCTAAAACTGAACTTCACTTTTTCATAAAGGCTGAAGAGTTTAACAGACTTTTTTTTTTTCCTGGGACTCTGTTGGTGGAATCCTTGTGATTGAGATGGTGGGACTGTATGCTTGCCATAGCTATTATAGGAGATGGGGGGGGGTTCCCACACTCTCTGCTGGATTTTTTAATTTATCTTAAAGCGAAGCCCCACCCAAAAAGGAGAATTCCGCTTTAAGGCCTCCTTCCCCCCTTCTCTTCAACAAATGGCACTTTGGCTTTTTTTTTGGGGGGGGGGGGCAGTTTTTTTTTGACAAGTTTCTGCCCAGATTGTTTAGGCATCCAAGCGGAAATTATGCTCTCCCCCTCCTTCCACGCAGTCTACCAGGACACGTGACAGGTCCCTGAAAACTGTGGGACCATTCATAATGCACAGCGGGCACCCGGCTGTGAAGCTGCAAGCTATCACAACCAGTGACACTGTTAAGATGCTGGTGCCAGGAACAGAAGACCGAGGGAAGGAATGGCTTGGGTAAGCACATCGCTGGATCCTAGGACAGGTAAGTGTCTGTTTAATAAAAGTTAGCAGCTACAGTTTTTGCTGCTGTTGACTTTTAATAAGCACAAAATTGACTGGAGCTCCCCTTTAACCCCTTGGCGCCAAACGCCTCCCAGCTCTTTAAGGATTCTAAAAGACCAGAGTCAGAGGTCGGCCTTTGGGTCATGTGACCACTATGACTGGCTGTCACAGTGGTCACATGATTGGAATTCTCCCAATCGCAAGTATGTATCAAGAGCTTACTGATCACCACTGGCTACCATGCTGAGAGCACGCTCTCAGCACAGTAAGTAGTGGACATATATTGTATATGCAAGCGCCTGTTGCCAACAGGTTAAGCAGGGCACACACACTCCGAATATTGGCCTGTTCAGCAATAACCAGCCGACATTTGGACCCTGTGTACAGCTGTCCCTCCGACAGAAGCCAGTGAAGGGACGCCAATGGCTGTTAGCGTTGATTAGTGCGTTTGTCAGAATAAAAAGGCAAAGTGTGGGAGATCGCTGCAACAGAGCTCTCAGATATTTTTAATTCAGCTCACTGGGTGGAACAAAAAAAAAAAACTGAATGTGTGTACCAGGCTTTACATTATAAAAATTTGTAACAGGTAGAGCTGGAACAACATATAAAGCTTGGCAGGACAGGCACACTTACAAGTGGACAGAACCCGTCAGAGATATCTTGCTATTTGCAATACCTAAGACAAAATACAGAACTCACTTGGCCCGCCAGCTCCCACCTGTACCTAAAATATCAATTGTGTGGAATGACCCTTCAGCTCATGTGTAGATACTCACCTCCAGGACTTCTCTGGAACCCCCCCCCCTCCCCCTCCCATCCTCTGAAACACTCTACCTCAATCCATGTGGCTATCTCGTACACTGCTTGTCTTTAGGTGATACCTGAAAACTCATTTCTTTAGGGAAGCCAATCCTGCCTCCACCTAAAAACTGTACTTTTAATTTCTCTATCAACTCATCCCCCAAAACTATTACCTTTATATCAATTGCCCCTCCCTTTTAGATTGTAAGCTCTAACAAGCAAAGCCCTCTGAACACTCTTGTACTGAATTGAAATGTAACTTTACTGTCTCCCTTTAAATCCTTGGTGTCCGAGACACAGCCAGACTGCTCTCTGTGTGTAGCCCATCAAATGTTGAACTGGGCTTGCCACCCGTTGGGCACCAGAGTGGCAGTGGGCTGCCAGGGAACAAATGCTCTCTGTATTACAGCACTGAAATAGTCTGTACTGTGAGTCCCAGCCTTGGAGAGAGGGAGAGAACGAGAGGGGGGGGGAGAGGAGAGAGAGGGGGAGAGGGAGGAGAGAGGGGGGAGAGGGAGGAGAGAGGGGGGAGAGGGAGGAGAGAGGGGGGGAGAGAGGGAGAGAGGGGGGAGAGAGAGGGGGGAGAGAGAGGGGGGAGGCGGGGAGAGAGAGAGGGGGGAGGGGGGAGAGAGAGGGGGGAGGCGGGGGGAGAGAGAGGGGGGAGGGGGGAGAGAGAGGGGAGAGGGAGGAGAGAGAGGGGAGAGGGGAGGGGAGAGAGGGGAGAGGGAGGGGAGAGACTCCTCTGCTATTTCCTCTGGGTAAATGCATCTATCTCCTGAAATAGTCTGTACTATGAGTCCCGGCCTTGGAGAGAGGGAGGGAGGGAGAGAGCGAGAGGGGGGAGAGAGAGGGAGGAGAGATTCCCCGGCCTTGGAGAGAGGGAGGGAGAGGGAAAGAGGGAGGGAGAGGGAAAGA